GGGGCTATTGAAAGTGTCCTTGCCCCCAGCTGAAATGGCACACCCCTCAGCAGTTGCATATTCATTAATATTTTGCTGCTGAGAGTAGCTTTGCAAGGTTGGATTTGTTGTTTGTCAGGCTGTTTATTTATTTTTTCCAAGTCTGATGAGAGCAGCTTTGTAGGCTTTGGCTGTGGCATTATTTTCATTAGTTTTCAAGTGCTGAGTTTGTTTTTGTTAGCTTGCCTGTTTGTATTAGAAGTCTTGTTTGTTCTTGGGATTGATGTTTGAGAGTGCTTTGTGCCATTTCCATGAGTCATGAAGGTAGTAGGAATTTTTATCGCTCTGATGAACTCTGTGGTCGCCACCCTGGCACCTGACTGACAATTGGGCAGGCTAGATTCTTGTGGACATCTCAGCCTTCACACCTCTAGAAGATGGTGTCGACTGACCACATTAAGGGAGTCCCGTTTTGGATGTCATTGGGACTTCTTCCCAGCCTGTGTCTGCCTCACACCTCAGGATTGCCCAGAGTGTTTTGCACTCATGTACGACTCTGATGCCCTTGTGGCATGAACGGGGCAACAGCCCTCACAACAGGTCTTGCAGGCCCTAAAAACTGCACCACGTCAACTTCCCGCACTACTTTAAGAAAAAGCTCGATAGTACAAAACTTCCTGAACACGTCTATTCTTGGAAACACTTATATGACACAGAGTAGACAAAGCATATTTAAAAAACAGCTTTCTTTTGGGCGTGAACGGGTGGCGATTATGAAAATATCAGGCCAGGTTAGGCAAATGTTTGTCCTCTCTCCTTTGGGAAAGTGAAAGCAGCGAGAGATTTTTGGAGCTGTTGAGCTAAGATGGGAGAGCTGCTGGAGAGTCTTACCCATGCATCCTCTGGCTTCTGAAGGAACACTCAGCTGGCCCAGGTAAGCCTTGTTTACTTTCCCTTATTCTGTATCAAAGCTGCAGTAGTATTGTGAGCCTACCCCAGACAAGCACTGCTGGCAGAAGGGTGATGCCAAGAGAAATATCTTTGGAGGACAAAATTCCTTTTCTGTTGCTCCACTGCATGAAAACACATCTAGTAGAGAGGGAAGGTGTGTCTAAAACAGCAGGGCTGTGTCTCATACTATATTACTCCATGTGCATTATTCCATGCCATTTCCAGCAGCTAAAGCTTGAACCTTACTTCACTGAGTAATTACATATACAGTGTCTAATGATACCACTATCTAAGATATTTAGGCATGTAGTTTTACTGGTCCGTATAAAGTCAGATTAAGTTACTGAGTTATAGACTGTATTTTTTTTTTTTCTCAGACATAGAGGGCAGGATTAGCAATTGTTTAAATGACATCTCTGTTTGACTAAAGGACATAAAATCTGGCCTATCACAAAAGATTACATATACTTACGGTCCCCATCCCAGGCCAGCCCACCCCCGATATGCAAAGCATGCTCTTATCAACATGGAAAAGTAAAATACTTGCCCTCAGGGTTTCTTGTGCCAGTTCACAGGTGAGGGAAATTAATGTTCATGGTTGCTAGCAGAGTCTGGTGCGGATGAAAGTTGAATCAAATTCTCAGTGGGCCATTTACAGTTGCTTTTTGTGGTCTCAGGGCTAGATCTGAAGTGACTGTCAGTTAAATAATGAGTAATTTTAGGTAAAATCTGTCTACTTCTATATGGAGAAAAATCAGTTGAAACTTTGCACTGAAGAAAGAAAGAGGGGATTAATTATGGTGAAACACCTGTCAGAGCAATTCTGGTGAACATGTAGTATCCCTGAGATAGGAATCACAGAATCATTTAGGTTGGAAAAGACCTTAAAGGTCTTAAAGATTAGGTCAGCCTTATCTGATTTCTTTCCTTATACACTGACACATACCAAGCACGCTTGCTTCTGACAAGCCAGGCTGCTTGTGAACTAAATCTAAAGCTATCCAAATCTATTCTAAAATCACGGCAAAATCAAGTACGAGTAGCTGCAAGCAAGCCAAATCAGTGTCCGCTTCTTCACATTAGGATGCTACACAAGTCACTAGTGAAATGCTTTCCCATCCCATAATCAGTACTTGCTTTTTGAACTGGTATCATCAAATGAGAAGTCTGAGCTCATATATGAGGGTGGGATAGGGATATAGAGGTTGGTGAGAATCAGATTCCACTTGAACTGTATTGTTATAAATAACTGTATTGTTATAAATATAAATATAGAGCCCTGTAAGATAGGCCAATGCAGTTAACTATTGCTATATCCTTTATGAATTAAAGATCCTAGTTTTATCAAAAAGAAAAAAAAAAAACCATTCTAAATTCCAGTTCTGCAAATTTATCCTTGTTCATAAGAGTCAGGGTGAGTTATTTCTGGCTCTGACAGTGCTGAAAATAAAAATAGCAGGCCATTTACCTCTTCTGGTGTATCTGGCTGTAACTCCTTTGAAACCAGTGGAAATAGCAGGAAATCTACCATTTATAGGTTCAGTGTTACCATATAGAATTTGTAGTTGTTCTGATTTAAGGAGGAAGGGAAAACTGCTTTTCCCATCCATCTGATGGTTATGCCGGATTAACAGAATTAAAGCAAGAAAAAGTTTTTTACTAAAATAAATAGAAGACTGAACAGAATCACAGAATCACCATGGTTGGAAGGGACCTCTGAGATCATTGAGTCCAACCTTAAAAAAAACCAACCAAACAACAAAAACACCACCCTCAAAACCAAACAAAAAAAACCCACCACAAAACACAACACCCCACCACATCACACCCACTCACAAACCAATAAGCTCAGGCACTGGAGCATGTCCTGAAGAGCCACATCTACACGTTTCTTAAATCTCTCCAGGGATGGTGCCTCCACCCCCTCCCTGGGCAGGCTGTTCCAGTGCCTGACCCCCCTCTCAGTAAAGTCATTCTTCCCAATATCTAATCTAAACCTCTCCTGCCCCAACTTCAGACCATTTCCTCTGCTCCTGTCATTATTCCCTTGGGAGAAGAGGCCAACCCTCTCCTCTCTGCAGCCTCCTTTCAGGGAGTTGTAGAGGGCAATGAAGTCTCCCCTCAGCCTCCTCTTCTCCAAACTAAACATGCCCAGTTCCCTCAGGCTTTCCTTGTATGACTTGTTCTCCAGACCCCTCATCAGCTTGGTGGCTCTCCTCTGGACACGCTCCAGCAGCTTGATGTCCTTCCTGTAGTGAGAGGCCCAGAAATGAACACAGCCCTCGAGGTGAGGCCTCACCAGTGCCGAATACAGAGGCATGATGGCCTCCTTCTGGCCACACTGTTCCTGATACAGGCCAGGATGCTGTTGGCCTTCTTGGCCACCTGGGCACACTGCTGGCTCATGTTCAGCCGGCGGTCCACCAACGCTCCTAGGTCTTTTTATGCTGGGCAGCTTTCCAGCCGCTCTTCCCCGAGCCTGTAGTGTTGCCTGGGGTTGTTGTGACTGAAATGCAGGACCTGGCACTTGGCCTAATTGAACCTCATCCCATTGGCCTTGACCCATTGATCCAGTCTGTCCAGGTCCCTCTGTAGAGCCTTCCGACCCTCAAGCAGATCAACACTCCCACCTAGTTTGGTGTCATCTGCGAACTGACTGAGGGTGCACTCAATCCCCTTGTCTAGATCATCAATAAAGATATTAAACAAGACTGGCCCCAAAACTGAGCCCTGAGGGACACCACTGGTAACCGGTCACCAACCAGATTTTGCCCCATTAATCACAACTCTCTGGGCACGGCCATCCAGCCAGTTTTTTACCCAGTGAAGGGTACATTTGTCTATGGTATGATTCACCAGTTTCTCCAGGAGAACACCGTGGGGGATGGTGTCAAAGGCCTTACCAAAGTCCAGGTAGACAACGTCCACAGCCTTCCCCTCATTGAGAAAGCGGGTCACATGGTTATAGAAAGAGATCAAGTTGGTTAAGCAGGACCTCCCTTTCCTAAACCCATGCTGGGTGGCCCTGATCCCTTGCCTGCCCTGCACTTGCTGTGAGAGCTCTCCCAAGATGATCCTCTCCATGATCTTTCCCGGTACCGAGGTCAGGCGGACAGGCCTATAGTTTCTCAGATCCACCTTCCAGCCCTTCTTGTAGATGGCCGTCACATTTGCCACCCTCCAGTCATCTGGTACCTCCCCTGCTGACCAGTATTCTTGATAGATAATGGAGAGAGGCTTGGTGAGCTCTCCCACCAGTTCCCTGAGTACCCTTGGGTGGATCCCATCTGGCCCCATACACTTATGCCTGTCCAGGTGCATAAGAAGATCATTAACTGCTTCCTCCTGAATTACAGGGAATTTGTTCTGCTCACCATCCTTATCTTCCAGCCCAGGAGGCTGAACACCCTGGGGATGGCTGGTCTGACAACTAAAGACGGGTGCAAAGAGGGCATTAAGTATCTCAGCCTTCTCCTCATTCTTGGTCACAATGTTTACCCCACATCCAGTAAGGGATGGAGATTCTCCCTGACCCTCTTTTGGTTGACATATTTATAGAGACTTTTTTTGTTGTCCTTTATATTAATCGCCAGGTTGAGTTCCAGCTGGGCTTTTGCCTTCCTAATTTTTTATCTGCATAACCTAACAAGATCTCTGTTCGGTTACACACAGAGGCAAGAGACCTATTGGTTGGAGGAATAAGCCCAAACTTATTTTCAGACATTAAAGAAAACAGTGCTTTTCATAAATTATTCACTCAAAGTCATTTTGTCATTCACGAGATTAACCGTCCTGCCTGTCTCATTACATCTTTACTGGCTGGTAATGTTTAAAGAAATGCCAGGAAAACTGTTTCCTACCCAATTTTGTTGCAGAGGAAGGAAAAGATCCTACAGGGCAGGAGGCTGGGGCTAAAAGTAAATGAAATGCTAAGATCTGTTTTCAAGGAGACCTAGATATGGTCAGGGCTTGCATTTGCTTTGGCCTGACATGACAGGCTGGCACCGGCGTTTTCTATGCTTTCCTGTTGCTGCTGCAGGGCACATCTGTAAGAGCACCAAGAACAGCCCATGGGCAATGTGTCCCTGTTCTGTACTGCTGCAAGGGGAGGCTGAGGACTGGGAAGCCCTGGAGAGCTGTCGGAGGTGTGTGGAGGGAGCTGCCAGTCCAGGTATTTGCTCCCATTTCAAGTCCCACCCTCCTCCCTCTCCACTCTTGACCTGCTTCATGGGCTGGTGCAGAGAGGGAGGAGGAATGAGTAGACCCAGGGGTTTATTTCATTGCTGGGTGCTCCAAAAGGGTAGGAGAAGACTGAAGCATGTACATCTAAAGTCCGTTGGTGCTTACACAGGCACCATGAGGCTGGGGCAGTGTTTCTGTGTTTAACACTTGCCCCCTTCTCTGTCACTCTTCTCAGCAGCACATTCACTGAAGGACCTGGCAGATTCTGTCCCCTCGGTAGTTAACTTGGCCCTAGGGCTGGTGAAAATGCCTGAAATAATCCTCAGGGTACATGAAGGTCTTGGTCCAGTGGTGTTGCTGTGGCCTCTAAAACCATTCTCAAGGGCCCATATTACTGTGCCACTATGGGGTCCGAGTGGGAGTTCAAGAAAGGTGCTGAGGCGGGACAGCAGGGCAAAGACCTAACAATCCTTTTGCCAAGCTCCCTGTTTTCTGCTCACGATGTTGGCTCAGAGGCACAATGGCAGTGGACTTGAGCTCCCCACGGGCACAGAGTTAGAAAATGTATTCAGGGCTAGGTATGGCACCAGCTGCTTGCCTTGGGAGAAAGGGAAAAGACAAGCACAATGGGGCTGATGCTTCTCTTTCTCACAGGTACCAGAAAGAAATATATACACTGATGTGAGTGTGGTGCAAAGGTACTACTTTGTGAACTCTTTGGTGGGCAACATAGGTGTTGGTGGTCCTAATGTTTCTCCTGTACCCATGGAGAACAGTGGTCTAAGGACAGAGGGAGATCTGGGTGTACCTTTTTTATCAAAGGAAAGCCACTTAAATGGTGCTGGTGCTCTGTCACTAGCTGTGGGCCGCCCTCCTGAAGTGGGGACGCAAGAAGAGTATCCTGGAATGATGTAGTTGCCCTGGCCCCATCAGGGGTGGGTCTAGACCAGTGCTAAGGGAGGAAACAATGTTTTTGCCAAATGTCTGATCTGCTGTTCTGCTTAATCTATGCCTAAAATCCTCTGGAAAGAAAACCCTCTATTCATGGATGTGGGCTAGCTATTTGGTATCCAATTCTTTTTTCACTCAAAATGATGGCAATTTGGCCATTTTTATCCATAGAAACAGGGTCGTACCATTTGTATTCCATGTCAATTGAAATAAAAATGATGACTACATATCTGGCAGAGCTTAAAGGAATGAAAAAGAATTACTGATAGTCTAACAATCTAATAGACAAACAACCATCTGCAATTTGTTTTAGGGAAACAAGACAATTTCCCTCTTCACTGTTAACTGTACTATGCTGGTTCCCACTAGGTCTGCTTAGGGGACTGTCCGTCTTGCTCATTTAACTGGATTTTGTATAAAATTATGGCACTTTATGTAGTACTTCCGCAAAATGAAGAGGACACTCAGGTAGATAAGAACTGTTGCATAAAAGCCCAGCAATCATAAGATTTGGCCGCTTCCTATTCCATTCCAGTGTTTATAGAAATCACTTATTCCAGATTACCAATACATTGATTCAGCTCTAGTAGCCCAGGAAGAAAAAGCTGGAAATGAAATGATCACCATACCTATCCATTAGCTATTTCACACTAGGCAGCAGAAGAAATAGCATTTGTGCTGCAGGTGTGCGTGATTCTGCCTCCTCCTTCTTCATCTGAAATGCAACATCCCTTACCCTTGTTCTCGTGGTGGCAAGTGCAGACCCAAAGCTGGTGATTGTTTTACTTGTGATCAGTCATGAGGAAGAACATGGGACAATCTGTGGCCAGAATACCAAGTTGGGTGTCCTTCACTGCTCCTAGTTGTTTGCAATGCAAATGGGAGGCTTTGTCTCACATAATGCCATATCCATGGTAACCAAATGAAGACAAGTTTGCATTACTTCCTTAGTAAAGTATAATCCTTCCCCTGGTACATGTGCCAAATAGGCATACGGAGTTAAAGGGACAGCAATATATTTCTTGGAAATGGAAGCAACCCAGGCAACTTCTGGCTTTTTTTTTTTCCTTTTCTTTCCTGTTTCAGTTACCACTGACCTCACTCCTCCACCCTCTCTCTCCCATCCTTTTTCTAGAGTTCTCATTGTTACAAGCTAGACTAGTCCTGATTTCTGGTTTCCTTTAGCCAGAGGCTAAGCAAACAACCAGTCATCTAAACTGTCAACTTTAACATCACTTCTTGGCAAAAAGCCTTTTCTTTCTCTTCCTGTTATCTTTGAAAATAAATAAATAGATAATGGGCTGGAAAGCCAAGCCAAAAATACCAGTTCTTGTCTTCCAGTTTTTCAGACTTTGGGTCTGTGGCAGAGCAGAGGCACAGATGCACCAACTTGAAACTATTCCATTGTATTAGTATCTGGATCAAGCCATACAGGTTGGAGCTTATATTTATTTTCATTGTAGTGGTTAAAAATTTTAGAAAACCCATTTTTTTTTCTCTTCTGATCTGTTGGATATGATGTAGGAATTTTTTTTTTTTTTAATTTCTGGGTTTAATTCCAGATTCAAAAATCTTTGATCTTTTCATAGCTTCATAGGGTGCCTCTTTTGACCAGCTGGGTATGGTTTTTAGCAAAAGGACCAGACTCAGACTGAGTGTACTGCAAGATTATTGCTGTTGTTAATATTTTCACTGTTGTTTTGTTTCCTTGCTTGTGACAACCTGTGCACTGAATTGATGTGCTTTCCTTTATGTACCTCGGAGGCTTAAAATGCAACTTTTTCCCTCTTCAGCACAATCTTATGCAGTTTCAAATGGAAACATCTTTAGCTGTCGTTATTTAGAGTTACCTCTTATATTTCTTCTCAATTAAGAATTGTAATGAAAATGCAGCATGATACACAAAGCAGCATCAGCTTCCAATTCCATTTTTCACAGTGAGCAATGCTCGTTCTCTCAACCAGCCCTTGGACTTTTACTTTGAAAAGAGCAGGACAAGTCGTTATTGTGGCCTTCAAGCAGGAATTTTAGCAAAGGCTTTGCACAGACAGAAACCTACCCAAATTTATATTTACCAACATATGAGAAGGCTTGAAGTGTTATTACAAGCTTTCACTGCCTGGTACGCTTCCAGAAGTGCTTCATTCGCTGGAGTCACTGTGCTTGTGAGTTTTCACATGGATGTTCCAGGGGTGCTTTGAATATCAAACCAAGTGTCCTTCATTTCTTTCAATGTAAATGGCGGGCATGCTGAAGAGACAAATTAGTATCTTCCTACAGTAACTAGGATTTCAGTGTGCTTAACTACTCTCAGGTTGATGGGCAGGGAAAGGGGACCTCAACTTCAGTTTGCTGCCCAAAGTCAGGGACTAAAGTTGAACACTGAAAAGATTTTTGTCATCTTGTTTTGCTTCTAGTAAGACAGAGAGAAAACTAGAGTCCTCAGTCTTCAAGCAGTGGTTTGTCCCAGTAAATGGCAAATGAATAGAATGAATATTACAGACCAAAAATGGTGATTTTTCGTGCATCTCTCTTCTTGTTTACTGGAGCAGAGATGGGTGAGCTCATGATACCATGAACTTCCTCCTAGATGGAGTTGCCATAAAAGTGTAGCTAAGCCAGAATGCCAAACACAACTGTATCTCAGAAATGACTCCACAGTAACAGTATAAAGGATCTTCCTCATTGTTTTCCTCCCATTCTTTTCTTTTTTAATGGTTAACTAAATGCAGTGATTGATTCAGAAACCATATATATGTGAATTCTTATAGTTGATAATAGAAAAACTTCTCATCTTGGCTATGGGGTCTGAGAAAAAGAATTATTTTTTTTTTTTTTCAGCTCTGTTTTGCAAAAGCATACTTAGTGTTCTGCTGTCACACAAAACCAGCCTGGTCACCATAAATATGCTCAAATACTTTTCTGTATCAAAATGGAATGTCTTGGGAATTTAACAGCCGCCTTAAGTCAAAGTATCTGAGATTTGCTGCTGCCTCCTGATTCATATCTGTATAACTACAAGTTTAGTTGCATATTTCTCAATATTAAAGTTAACCTTGTGCTCTCTATTCACGTATGGGTGCACCTCAATATGGAGATGTTTGCATTCACAAGCATCTAAAGAAAGTGGATAAATATTAACCAAGTGTGATTGTGTAATCACTTGACAAATGGAAAGGGAAGAGACATACTAACAGCGCTATCCAGTAGGTATCATACAGTGTGAGGAATGTGGTGCAAAGCTGATTAAGTTCAAGGTCCTGTTTCAGTGAAACAAACACACTTTACTGTAGTTGGTGGCAAGGAGAATGGTTCTGTTAAATGCTGGCAACTGAAGTGAGACAAATCTGTCTGGGAACCTGCCATAAACTGTTTACGTGTTTTTCAATTTTTAGAAACTTTTCATTTCTTGCATTCAGTAGTAAAGACCTGGTATAAATTTCTTGCTGATGCAGAGTCCTCAGTTTCTACCTTGAAACCTCCTTGGAGGGGAGGGAGAGAATGAAAAAAAAGATATTTCCAAGATGTTCTCAGTGTGTTATCAAATGAACAAAACACACAGAACATGGAAACCAGCCAGTCATTCATTCCATCAACAGATTTGCAGAGCTAAATTTGCTTCTGGAGAGCAGTTAGAAATTAAAACACACAGATGATGAGTGGTGCTGGCACCCAAACTGTGATCAAGAGGACACTCTTGTCGGAAAAGATGTACCCTATCAGATTAATCATTATGTGTTAATTAATTTGAAATCAAAAGAATGTCTTCTGCTGTCTATGCACAGGAAATTAATGGTGATAGCACTAATTAAATGTAATGGAAGTTACCTCTGTACTTCCCACATCTGGGGCCAAACTCTTTATTGCCCTTCATGTTGTGTCATTTACAGTTCAGTCCTATTGTAGCATCTTACCCTCATTGTGCCCTGCTGTAAATGGCTGTGCAAGTCGTCAGGCAATGGAGAACCAGGCTGGTGGATTACTCAGCTGGGAAATGAGTTCATTTCAGTTAAACTAGCTCTAAACTTTGACTTCTAC